TTGTCAGAGAGAGAGAGGGAGAGAGAGCAAGCACAGGCAGACAGAATGGCAGGCAGAGGCAGAGGGAGAAGCAGGCTCCCTGATGAGCAAGGAGCCCGATGCGGGACTCGATCCCAGGACGCTGGGATCATGACCTGAGCCGAAGGCAGCTGCTTAACCAACTGAGCCACCCAGGCGTCCCTAAACTGGGTATATTTTTTAAAGATTTTATTTATTTATTTGACAGAGAGAGAGAGAGAGATCACAAGTAGGCAGAGAGGCAGGCAGAGAGAGAGAGGAAGGGAAGCAGGCTCCCCGCTGAGCAGAGATTCCCAATGCGGGGCTCAATCCCAGGACCCTAGGATCATGACCTGAGCCAAAGGTTTCAGAGGCTTTAACCCACTGAGCCACCCAGGAGCCCCTGCTGATACACTTTAATTTCTTTTCCCACTTTATTTTGTGCTTTGTATTTTTTCCATGTTTTATGTTTTTATTTCTGCCTTCCCCCCTTTTCTTCCTTTCTTGCTTGCCTTCTTTTTTAAAATATTGGTTTTCAGGGTGCCATGGTGGCACAGTTGGTTAAGCATCTTCCTTTGGCTCAGGTCATGATTCCAGGGTCCTGGAACTAAGCCCCAAGTTGGGCTCCCTGCTCAGTGGAGAGATGGCTTCTCCTTCTGCCCCTCCTCCCAACTCATGTGCACGCTCTCTCTCAAATAAATAAACAAAGTCTTTCTTAAAATGTTATTTTTCTTCCTCTGGTTTGGTCAGTAGCTCTATTCTTATTCTTTCCGTGGTAACCCCCCAATTCTAATGTTCATATTTAATTAAAGTCTAATGTTAATCAATATTTTTATGGACAGTACAAAGACCTTGGATTAATTGAACCAGTGGCTCCAACTCTTTGCTTTCCCTGTATGCAAACCCTCTGCCATGATCCTTCATAGCTTCCTCCTGCTATAACGCTGGACTGAGTCATGTGATTTGCTTTGGCTAATTAGGTGTCAGAAGAGTCTTGAAAATGTGCTTGTACATTTCCATTGCTCTCTTTTGTGTCCCTGCCATTGCCATGAGAACTCACCTTGACAGCCTGGCTGGTGAGTGAGACACATGGAGCAGAGTAAAGGCCCCTAGCCAAGACCATTCTAGATTAGCTGAGCCCGGACACATAAGCAAGTCCAGCCAAGCTCAGGAGAGCTTCCTAATCCACGCCCAGCTGACACCAGACGTGTGAGTAATAAACAAATATAGCTATATCCCTCTGAGGTTTTGTGGCTGTTTGTTATGCAACAGATAACTCATACATGTTCAAGGACGAGCTTACTATACACCCATTACCTTCCAGTATCCTCTTATACTTTACATACAATCACTCCATTATTTCTGTTTTGCCTTTCTGAATCCCACAAATTATAAATTGTTCTTGTTTCTTGTCCTGTTATTTGCTCATATTTACTCATGTTTGCTATTTTATTTGCTCACCAACCTTTATTGTGACTCAGATCTTCCTCCTGGGATTTTATTTCTTCTTGAAATATATCTTCTAGAAGTTCCCTCAGTTAAGTTCTGTTGGTAGAAACTCTTGGGTTTTTTTTTTTTTTTAACTTTTTAAAAATTTTTATTTATTTATTTTTGAGAGAGAGAATGAGCACAAGCAGAGGGCGGGGCAGAGGGAGAAACAGGCTCCCTGCTGAGCAGGGAACCTGATGCAGGAATTGATCTCAGGATCCTGGGATCATGACCTGAGGCGAAGTCAGACGCTTAACCGACTGGGACACTGAGGCACCCTGAAATTCTTCGTTTTTGTTCATCTGAATAGTACTGTGTTTTCATCCTTGAAAGACTAAGTACACAATTCTAGGTAGACAATTATTTTCTCTCATTAAATTAAGGCAATTATTTCATTAATGATATTATTTCATGCTACTATTATTATCACAGCTCCCATTAGTGCCATTGAGCAATCAGGAGCTGGTATCACATTATTCCGTTATAGATTGTCTGACTTTCCTCTCTGCTTTTAAAATCATCTTTTGGGAAGCCTGGATGGCTCAGTCAGTTGAGTGTCCAACTCTTGGTTTCTGTTCAGGTCATGATCTCAGGGTCGTGGGATTAAACCCCTTGTTGGGCTCCTCGCTCAGATTGTGATCTACTGGAAGTTACCTCCCTCTGCCTCTCCCCCCATGATCATGTGTTCTCTCTCCCTCTCTCTCTTTCTCTCTCAAAATAAACAAATCTTTAAAAAAATTTATCTCTTGTGCTTTGGTGTTCTTCCAGAATAGATCTAGGTTTTCTATTTCCTTATCATACCTGATAATTCAGTGCGTTTCTTAAGGATTCTTATCTTTCATCAATTCTGGAAAATTCTCAATCATTATTTGACAATTGCCTTGCTCACATTCACTTTATAATTTCCTAACATAACTGACAAGCCTATGATGAACCTCCTCACCTTTTCCCTTTCTTTGTCTCTCTGGGATGGTGTTTGGATTATTTTCCTCAAATCTATCTTTTATTTTTATTTTTTAAAAAGATTTTATTTATTTATTTGACAGAGAGAGATCACAAGTAGATGGAGAGGCAGGCAGAGAGAGAGAGAGAGAGAGAGAGGGAAGCAGGCTCCTTGCTGAGCAGAGAGCCCGATGTGGGACTCGATCTCAGGACCCTGAGATCATGACCTGAGCCGAAGGCAGCAGCTTAACCCACTGAGCCACCCAGGCGCCCTCAAATCTGTCTTTTAGTGCACTAATTTCTCTTCAGCTATATCTAATTTGGTGCTTAAACCTTCCAATGAGCTATTTGTTTAAGACAGATCTTGGGGCACCTGGGTGGCTCAGTCAGTTAAGTCAGTTAGTCAAGTCAGTTAAGTCAATTAAGTCAGTCTCAGCTCAGGTCATGATCTCAGGGTGGTGGGAATCAATCCCCGCATTAGGCTGTGTGCTCAGAGCGGAATCTGCTGGGGGTTATTTCCCACCCCTCTCCTTCTGCTCCTACCCTATTTGTGCTGGCTCTCTCACTCTAAAATAAATAAAATCTTTCTAAAGAAGAAAACAGATCTGCTTCTGCTACTTGATTTCTCTGCTTATTTCCTTATGGGTTTTGTGGTTCTTGATTGTGAGATCATATTGATTTGGAAGCCTATCTGTGGGAATTCTTTGAGATCTGGGTTGACAGTGAGTTCTTCCAGATAGGACGTGTGTGTGTTTCAGCCAAGTAACAGAGGTACTATCAACTCAGACCCATTTTAAATTGAAATGTTCTGCTTGTGGGCTTTTGGACCATGCAAACATTGTGGCCATGTGATGGTCAGACTTTAACCATGGATCCATTAGAGGTAAAATGCACTGCCTCTCTACCTAGAGCCAAGACAGAGACAACTTTCCTTGCTGCCTAGCTCTGCTGGGCAGATTTTTTTTTTTTCTTCTAGTTTATCCTTCCCCTAAAGATACATCCCCTTTTGGGGTCCCAACCTGATCTTCCAGTTTGGCTCTCATCTTGCCTGGACCTCGGTAAGTGCCCCTACAGCTAGCAGTATCATCATTGTTTACCTTCCTCTAGAGATGATTTTCAAAGTATTTATCAGTATAACACACATGCTAACCTATCAGAACAATGCAGACTGTATCTCTGCATAACTTCTGAACATCAACACTATCTAACTTCCTAGGCTTGGGTTTCTGCTTTCTTCCTGGTCTCAGATGATTTTCCTGACTTTCTCACAAGCTTATCTATGTATTGAAAAGGGTGCTTTCAATATTTCTCCTAGCATTTTAATATATTTTGTTGCTGTTATATTTGAAGAGTCTACAATACTGCTAGAAATAAAGTCCAAGTAGAAATGTATTAGGCTCATGCAACAAAACATCCAGAGGCAAGCTAAGCACTGTAGCTTAATGTCATATGAGACCTAGGCTCTTTCAGTCTTTCCATTTTGCCAGCTTTAGCATTTGCTTGTCAGATCATAAGCACATGATTGGGACTGAACTTCCAACCTTTAGGTCTGCTTAGAGGCAGGAATCAAATAAAAATGACAAAGCACTTGAGGATACTCAACTAAAGTCTTAGTGGACTTTGCTAAACCCACACCCACACACACACGTTGGTCACCTGACTGCCTTGTCTAACCACTGGCTAATGAGATTACCATGAATAGCTTGGACTAATTATGAGTCATTCCTTCTAGCAGCAGTGAAGATCTACCTCCCCTGAGATCAAAGAATCTCCACTAGTACCTGAACAAAATGGGGACCCAGCACAGCGCCTGCCACACAAAGGGAACTGTTCCTTTCGTTGTACATTGACTTGAGTATCCACTAGGTGCCAAAGGCACTATGGAGGCAAAAATGAATTTGACACGATCTCTGCTACGCAGCAAGAAAGAGATAAAGTTTGAAATGGGGTTAGGACTTCGTATCAGCTCCCTAATTCCCAGCAGCGCCCTCACTAACAACCCTTAAAGCTAATTGACCTGCGCCAGATTACACTGCGCAGTAGCTGGCTGCAGCGGCTCGCTCTCTGGACGCCTCGCCCCGAAAGCCAGTCCCGCATGCGCACACCGCTTTCTCTCTGACGCATCCCCGGAAGCACTGGCGTTTCGGGGGCGGAACCGGGAAGCGTTTCCGGGGGCGGGAGGCGCAGGCTGAGGCGGTCGCGGCGGCGACGGCTTGAACGGGCCTGACGCCGGTGGCGGAAAGTGTCCGGCGGCCGGGTAATGTGAGCGCGGAGCCGTTAGCAGGTACTGCGGAGTCGGGACAACAGGTAGCGAGAGGGCAGGGAGGGAAGCCGGAGAGGTTTAAGGGCTTCTCTGCAGGTCCCGGCGCTCGCGCGCCGCTGGCCCGGCAGGCCCGTTCCGCAGACCGGGATGCTTCAGCCGCGCTCTGGCGGTTGGAGTCCCGGTAGCCCGGTCCGACTCCTGTGGTTTCCAGCCAGCCCAGTACGCGGACCGCGACCCCAGGGCCCCCGAGGCAGCGTCTCGCCCAAGGTCACCCCATGGCGGCGGACCTCGGCGGGCCAGAGCGCTTAGAGATCCCGCCCCGGTACGTCCGCCGGCCTTTCGCGGGCGCCGTGTGGGTGCGGCGTGGCGGCCTCGGGTTCGAGCCAAGGCCCGGAGAAGGGCTGCACCCGGACTTTGCTGGTATCTGCCTCTGTTTACTTCTAAGTCGTGTCTCACGTCTGTTGCGGTCTCTGTCACCTGTTGTCACCTGCCCTTTCTGCCTCTCAACTCTGTCCCTGTCAACTTTGTATTTCTCTCCGGTTTATCTCTCTTGAGCGCATCTCCATCTGGACCTTGTTTTTGTTTCGCTCTCTACTTTGCTTGTGTTTCTTGACCCTTTGTTTCCCTCTCGGTCTTTACTCTCATTCACGGCCTGCCTGTCAGCCCTTCGCTTTGGCCATCTGTGTTTCTGCCAGTTTTGTGTCTTGTTTGTGGTCTCCTAACCGGGTTTGTCTGGGCGGGGCAGGGCAGGCTTGCCCGGACCTCTGAGCCATGCAGTGACTCATGACCCCGTGAAGCTTCCTGCACTGGTGACATTCTCAGCCACTAGACTGCAGTCTGGCCTCAACTCTGACAGGTGTCGCCCAACCTAAGTGTCCGGGTGCAGGAGCTCCTTCTGGCAGGCCAACCGGAGACCATGTCAAGGCCAAAGTAGCTTGATAAATCAGGTCTTTTCCTACCCATGGTTTTTAAGCCTGCACAGCTCCTTACTTCCCTTTGCTCCATCCACTTACCCCAGGATAGCCTCCAGGGCTCTCAGGAGCCAGCTCCTTGAGTTCCAGCTGCTTAACTAGGCCTGTCTACAGGCAAAGGAAAGGTCAGTCTAAGATTCTCTGCCCCTTGGGGCTCATGGAACAGGAGGATTTCTGGGAAGGCTGTTTGATTAGTTAAGAGATTGTGTCACTGTGCAGTTAAATTATTAAGAAACCTCATAATTTGGGATTTCATTCTTTGCTTTACTAAAGTACTCACTGAAGAAGTAAGCCAGACACAAAAGAACAGTTATCTCATGGGTCCATTTATGTGAGGTATCTAAAATAGGAAAATTCAGAGACAGAAAGTAGAATATAGATTACCAGGGGCTGGCAGAGTAGGGGATGGAGCGTTATTGTTTAACGGATACAGAGGTTTAGTTCGGGGTGATGAAAAATTCTGGAAATGGATAGTGGTGATGGTTGCACAACATTGTGAATGTGCTTAATGCCACTAATTGTATACTTTAAAATGGTAAATTTTATGTTAAGTATATTTTACCACAGTACAGGAAAAAACGAACTGCTCATTGGAGAAGCTTGGAATTAATCAGCTCTTTGAAAATGTGATTTTTATTTCTTTTTTTTGTTTTGTTTTGAAAATGTGATTTTAAAAATTTATTTTTGGATGTTAGAACATTTAGTCGAACCTACTGTTTGTTGATGCCTGCTCTCATCACAGCTAATGTTCTTAGAAAGGAGTTCGGTTAAAAAAAAAAAGTTGGTTAAAATCTTCCCTCAAGTTTTCTACTTGGGGCAGATTCCTGCCCTAGCTCTTCTCCCTCCGTGTTCCTTGGCTATAAGGCAGAAATCTGCTGCATACCCATGGGAAATTTGAGCGAGATTTTACTTTTTACATGAAGAAAGCTCTTAGGGTTGGAAAAATAACCCAGTTATTATGATAATGCAAAATTATGTGTCATTTCCTGTGTGTGTTCTGATGGGGGAGGCCTTTGTGTTCTGTTCTCTTAAGCTCTCAGGTTGCGGGTGTTGTAGTTTATCAAGCCGAATTACTGCTGTATTGAATCCTAGATACCATAGATTCTTTTCTCTACCACCAAAGAAGGAGAAAACACTGCCAATTAAGCTATGACATGTGCTTTTTAATCATTTAGGCTTCTAAAAAAAATTATTTTTAAAGATTTTATTTATTTGAGAGAGAGAGAGCACAAGCAGGGTAAGGGCCAGAGGAAGAGGGAGAAGCAGGTTCCCCGCTGAGCAGGGACTCCCAATTCTAGGCTCTGTCCCACCACCCTGAGATGATGACCTTGAGCTGAAGGCAGCTGCTTAACTGACTGAGCCACCCAGGCACCCTAGGCTTATAAAATTCTTATTGAGAAAACATTTTTAGACTTATTTAGATATTTTTAAATGACATCATTCTAAAGCCTAAATAAAAAAGAAAAAGAAGTGAAATAAATTGGTTAAAGTGTTTGTTACAAACTTTTAACATTCCTACCCTTAAATACTTTTCAGTTCAAGTTCGGTCCTTACTTTCCTACAGTGTCCTCCTTTGTGTCTTCAGAAATACTGATGAGGCTCTTAGGAATGCTCTATATTTGTCTCAGGCAGTGACAAACATTAAAATTTCCACTTTGGCCATCACATCCTGATTGCAGAAATTTTGAGATATGCCCCTTAAAATCAGTTAAATATACTCTATCATTTTCATGAACTTTTCCTTTTTACCTTATTTATATGTACAGTTGCGATAGAAGGATTTTTGTCTTATTTGTAACATGTTGAGAACAAAAATTTTCCATTATTTTGTTGGTCTTCTGTAGCTAATCATTTTCCTGAAACTGAATGCTGTTTCTGCCTTCTGCCTTCCTTGAGTTGAGCTTCTTGCCCCAAATGCTAATGAATATGAGAAGGCATTTAAAACCATTTCCTTAGCTATATTGTACTGTAATGGCAGGATGACTGGTAAGTGGGGAGTTAGTGGTTAGAACAATACCTTCGCTTTTGAATCTCAGAGTTTACCACAATGGAATGTTTGCCCTGAGTTTTAAGTAAAACATTCAGCAGTGGCTTAAAATTAAAGGAAGAATCAAGCCTCATCAAGTAGGTAGCTTATTTTTTTTTTAATGCTAAGACAGGTTTTACTAAGTTCTTTACCTGAAGTCTTCCAAGTAGAACTTGTAGGGATGCTGATTGGCATGGTCTGGAGACTGAAATGACTTTTCCAAAGGATAGTTTAATTCTGTAAAGTTACATAGACATCGATCAGTGTTGGTTTTCTATTTTTAACCAGTGTGCCATGGTGATGTAAGATGTTATTAAAACTGGGTGAGGGATTGAGGGGTGTACAGAACCTTTGGCATTTTTTGGTGACTTTTGTGTGAATCTAAGATTTTTTCAAAATTAAATTAAAAATACAAAACGGGGGCGCCTGGGTGGCTCAGTGGGTTAAGCTTCTGCCTTCAGCTCAGGTCATGATCTCAGGGTCCTGGAATTGAGCCCCACATCGGGCTCTCTGCTCAGCGGGGAGCCTGCTTCTGCCACGGCGCCCCCCCCCCCCACCTCTCTGCCTGCCTCTGCCTACTTGTGATCTCTGTCAAATAAATAAAATCTTTTAATTAAAAAAAATAATAAATACAACACTGGGGTGCCTAGGTGGCTCAGTAGGTTAGGCATCTGCCTTGGGCCTACCCATGGTCCTGTCCTGGGATCAAGTCCTACACTGGGCTCCTTGCTCAGCAGGGAGCCTGCTTCTCCCTCTCCCTCTGCCTGCTGCTCCTCCTGCTTGTGCTCTTTCTCTGTGTCAAATAAATAAATAAAAATCTTTTAGAAGAATAAATAAACTAAAAAATACAACACAGAAGCAAAGAAGGTACAGAATTGAAGTTAATATAACCAAAAATACCAGTGTTGATTAGTTTTCTTTCTGCTGCTCACACACCGGTAGTATTTATTAGGAAGGTACACAGACACGGTAAATGTCACCAGCATCTCTTTTACATTTTCAACATGATTTTTTTCTTTCAGAAGTCAGTGCGATTTTAATTTGAAGCAAAACTGAGAAATGGGTTTCTCTTCCTCATTCATCCTTACTGCTTTCTGATGGCCATGGCATAAAGGGCTTTTTCCCAGGAATACAGCTTTGCATTAGGTAAGCTATGAACTTACTAAAAAGACAGGTTTTTAAAATTTTTTACTAAAATAGTTTCTTTTCAGCAAAAATAATGATGTAGTTGTATTTAATTGCTCTAGACCAGAGTTTCTTATACTTCTATTCTGGGGAGGACCTCTTGTGTATTTTAAGACCAGTTACTGCTTTACATTATTTAACTTCACAGAAACTTCTCTGCTCAGTGACTTTTTTTAACTTAGAAAAATAATAGATTTAAATTAAACTGTTTTGAATCCTGACCTACCCCTTCTGAGATACATGATGTGGGACAGGTCTTTTAACCTTCCTGAGCTTCAGTTTACTCATTTTTAAAATTAGTATGAGGATTCAGGGATATTACAAGAGCCCAGGTTTCCCTAGTCTGTTTTGTGAACTGTAAAGCATTTGGCTAATACAAAGAATTTTGGTAGGCATGGGGTCTTGGTATTTTTATACATTTGCGCCAGTCTTCTGATTTACCGAAGTCGTATTTACTGTATTTAAATGTGCTCCCTACAGTAAGCATGCAAATTACCCTCTGATCTGATTATGAAATGTCTGGAGGGCTTCAGGACTGATGGGTCTGCTTCCCTATTATATTGCTGTCTGTGTTTTCAGACTTGTAGTTGTGTTTAAATAATGTATAAAACTTGACATACTATTCTTTAGCTGCATAATTAATACAGGCTACTGTTAAACTCATCAAAGTTGGAAGATATCTTGAAGATCATCTAGAGCTCGGTGATTCTTCAATATTTCCCAGTTTTTCCCTGCTTTTAAAAAAGCCAGAGAGGGGCACCTGGGTGGCTCAGTGGGTTAAAGCCTCTGCCTTCGGCTCAGGTCATGGTCCCAGGGTCCTGGGATTGAGCCCCATAGGGCTCTCTGCTCAGCAGGGAGCCTGCTTCCCTTCCTCTCTCTGCCTGCCTCTCTGCCTACTTGTGATCTCTGTCTGTCAAATAAATAAATAAAATCTTAAAAAAAAAAGCCAGAGAGCCTCCATGAACTATGGAGGGAGTGAGTGGGGATAGGTTGGGTTACTATTGGGTTATTGTTGTCGTTGTTTTAAAACTTAACTATGTGCAAGATAGATAAAATTTCTAGTACATCATTAAGTCTGAAGATTGTAAATAATTTGCTCTGGAGTTTAGGAATGTGTTGTATATTATAGATTATTTCCATTTATTTGTGAAAATAGTATTCACCTTTACCTTTCATACTATCATCAGGCTATACTGGGCCTGAGCAAGTGTTTTTTTTTTTTTTTTTTTTTTTAAATATTTTTTTTTTTTTTTTTTTTTACAGAGAGAGATCACAAGCAGGCAGAGAGGCAGGCAGAGAGAGAGAGGAGGAAGCAGGCTCCCTGCTGAGCAGAGAGCCCGATGCGGGGCTCGATCCCAGGACCCTGAGATCATGACCTGAGTCGAAGGCAGCGGCTTAACCCACTGAGCCACCCAGGCGCCCCTGAGCAAGTGTTTTGAACCCAACTTCACCACCCACTAGTTATATGACCTTAAGCAGGTGGTGTACCTCTTTGTCTGTTTCATATTCTATACAATAGGAATAAAAAATACCTATCCAGTGGGTTATTTTGAGGACTAAGATAAAATATATACAGTGCTTTTGTACAGATTTTGGTACAATGCACACATTTAATGAATAGTAGATGCTGTTGTTATTTCTATAATTAGATTTTCCCTAGTTACCCAGTTTGGAAACTTTGTTGTCAGTAACTAGTTTACCTTGCATTACTTTATTTTTCAGACTGCTTTATTAAGACATAATTCATGTGCAATTAAAAGTTTTTTAGTATATTTAGTGGGTTAGTATATTCAGATAGCCATCACCACAATCTAATTTGAGGATTTTTATCACCCCCCCACCCCGCGCCAAAAACCCCAATTGGCAGTCAGTCACTACCCTTTCCTTTCCCCATAGTTTCTGGCAGCCACTGATTCACTTTTTGTCTATAAATCTTTCTGTTCTGGACATTTCTTATAAATGGAATCATACAAGATGTGGCCTTTTGTATCTAACTTCTTTCACTTAGCATCATGTTTTCAAGGTTCAGCCGTGTTATCACATCTGTCAGCGCTTCATTCTTTTTTATTGCCAAAAGAATGGCATAATATAAGAATACTTATATAGGGGTGCCTGGGTGGCTCAGTGGGTTAAAGCCTCTGCCTTCCGCTCAGGTCATGATCCCAGGGTCCTGGGATCGAGCCCCGCATTGGGCTCTCTGCTCAGCAGGGAGCCTGCTTCCCCCTCTCTCTCTGCCTACTTGTGATCTCTGTCTGTCAAATAAATAAATAAAATATTTTAAAAAAGAAAACTTACATAATAAAAAGGAATACTGTTTCATTGTATGGATAGACCACCTTCTGTTTATTCAGTCAGCAGATGAGGACCTTTGGGTTATTTCCACTTTTTTCCATGATAGATTTGCTATTGTGGATATTTGTGTGGATATCATATCATATGTTTTCAGTCCTCTTGGGTATAGACCTATGAGTAGAATTGTTGAGTTACATGGTAGCTCTGTGTTTAACCCACTGAGGGGTTGCCAAACTGTTTTCCAAAGTGGCTGCACCACTTTATATTCACACGAGCAGTATATAATGGTTCTGATCCTTCCACATCTATTATCAATAATTGTTTTTGTCTGTTTTACTTATCTTAGCCATCTGAATGGTTATCTGTCCTTGTGGTTTGAATTTGCCTTTCCCTAGTGAATAATGATACTGAGCATTTTTTGTGTGCTCATTTGTATATCTTCTTTAGAGAAATGTCTGTTCAAATCCTTTGCCCATTTTTCAGTTGTCTGCTATTAAATTTTAAGACTTCTTCATATATCTGGGATACAGATCACTTAACAGTTATGTGATTTGCATATATTTTCTCCCATGTTGGAGGTTACCTTTCCACTCCCTGGATGGGATTGTTTGTGTCTTGCACTACCCCTTGCATCTTCCTGCTGAGCAATTCAGTCACTCCTACCAGTTCTACCTCTCTGTTCTCCATAGTCACTGTTACTTTCATTGCCTCAAACCTTGATTACATTTGCTGAAATCTTTTCTTTTAAGATTTTAATCATTTATTTGAGAGAGAAGGAGAGAGTAAGCAAGAGCTGGGTGAGGGGCAGAGGGAGAAGCAGACTCCCCGTGGAGCAGGGAGCCCTACATGGGGCTCCGTCCCTGAATTCCGGGATCATAAATGGAGCCAAAGGCAGATGCTTAACTGACTAAGCCACCCAGGCGCCCTTGCTGAAATCTTATCATTAAGCCTGTACTTCTTTGACTTACTCCTGCTTTTAAGTGCATCAGCAGATTGTCTTTGAATCTGCATATCACTGAGAAGTTTTCAGTGCTGCCTCCAGTGCCCACATTTAAAGTTCAGACAGCGCCTTTAGCAGGGTAATCCCAGCAGTCCTTCCCATGTGAAGCATAGGAGTGATCTTGAATGAAGAGCTCAGAGAGAGCTTGCAAGCTGGCTTTCTGGTGGTAGTTTTAGCATGGATGAGGACCTTGCCCTCAGTGGGATGGGAGCAAGAATTCAGTTTCTTCAATGTGCCATACTCATAGTGCACTTGACCCACAAGAGATTAAAGAAAACAAACCAGAATGCCATATGATTTATAATTTTTCTTTGTTAATAAGTGAGGCGGGCTTATAGTTTTTTCATATCTAATTTAGATACCAGAGTTTAGGGGCGCCTGGGTGGCTCAGTAGGTTAAAGCCTCTGCCTTCGGCTCAGATCATGATCCCAGGGTCCTGGGATGGATCCCCACATCGGGTTCTCTGCTCGGCAGGGAGCCTGCTTCCTCCTCTCTCTGCCTGCCTCTCTGCCTACTTGTGATCTCTGTCTGTCAAATAAATAAATAAAATCTTTAAAAAAAAAAAAAAAAGATACAGAGTTTAAATAAAAGTAGTAGGTTTTCTCCCACTGTTATTCCCTTGCTCCTCTTTCCCCTCTGAAACAGTTTATACAGCATAGGAATTAATTTGCTTTACAAAATTTTCCTATAAATTATTCTAGGCCTGGTGTGCTTTTGGAAATCATTTGAACTATTTCAGAATTGCTACACAGTAATCTGTTCAGACTTTTTTTTCTTCTCAGGTCAGTTCTGATAATTTATACTTCTCTGTAAAACTTTTTATCCATGAGATTTTGAAATTTAGTGTGGAATTGTCTTCTGTCTTAAAGTTTCTATAATGTTTTTATAGTCCATTTTTTATTCCTAATTTTGTGAATTTGACACTCCAGTTTTAGTTTCTTCATTGTTTTAGAATTAAGAATTTTGTTTAATTTATTGGGTGGGGGTTTTAAGATTTTTTCTTAAATATTTCTTGATTTATTACAATGTGTAATCACGTGTAATCAGATGTGCTCTGGTGTGTGTGCCCACTTTTTTCTCTCTTTTTTATTTTTTGGTAAATGTCCTAAAAAATTTAAAAAAGAAGATTTTTTTTTTTTTTTTTTAAAGATGTGTTATTTGTAGACTGCAGAGGTTGTATGTTTCATTTAAATTAGCATTACCGGTGATACCTGTCTAAGTTTCTACATTCCAGTTATCCTTTGCCTACCTGATTTAAGAATTAAAAGAGGGAAAATTATATTTCTTACTACAGTTATGTTTCTGTCACTCTTGTTTCCTGGAGACTATATTACATTTACACACAGTTTGCAAGATAACCCTCATTATGAATTATGGAATTCATCAACTAACAATAAACTTGCAAAAAAGCAGTAAGAACAATAAGCTCTTGTCCCATTTGATACTTTTTACATTGACTCTTACTTTGATATTAATAATGTTGCCTGGCTTAACTGCTGTTTTCATAAACCCATTCTTTTGACCTTGGACCTTTCTGATGGTGAATTCCACTATCTTTTCTGTATCTGAACAAGGATTTTGCCTTTATTTTTAAAGCTATTTTGATTGGGTATAGAATATAGGTTGACAGGTTTTTACTTTTAGTACTTTGAAGACGACTGTCTTGCAT